TACAAATTAAATGGAAGTTATATCAGATAACACACGCCAGTGATGGTTTTATTGTCTTGAAATTTTTACATGTTCTACAGTAATTCCTGTACTCTGAATCCGAAAATGATATCCCTTTTCTCCATCACGTACAGATTTTTCACAAAACGTCAGAATGCAATACATGAACGAAAGATCACAACATGAAGTCTTGAGACTAAAAGACGTAGATTTCACACAAAAAATCAGGTTGAATGATGATGCATATTTGTTTGACATCAATGTTCTCTTTTCTTTAGTTTGTTTGTATTTTTTGTTAACAAACATAATAATAAAAAATTTTCATTGTGTAAATGAAATAAGAATATGATCTAAGTGAGAGTTTTTTTTCCCCCGATTTATAAAAAAGCCTTTACGTGATAAAAATATTATTTTCGAAACCCGCGTAGCTAAATTATGGAAAATATGTTATTAAAACCAAACCAACTTTAATGAAGTTTAAATTCGCAGGCCTGTGTAATTTATCCTTCACAACTTTCCAAAATACTTAGTTTGACAGTCACGTGACGACATTAAGGATACTATCAGATGATAAAAACTCGCTAGACGTATCTTTATGAGATATTACTGAAAGCTTCATGAAAAACCTCTTCAAATTTCATGCATACATATATAAAATCATAGCAAAAAAATACGCTTTGTAAATTTCGAGGAAAATGTAAGCACCATGCAATTATTTCTCCATTAGATACCTTACTTTTTACGTTAAAAGTGGAACTTATAGCTAACTAGTACGAAGAAGTTTTTTATTGTGGTAGTGCTAAAGAATATTTGGCTTTGTTTTAGCTTGCCTAAACTAGAAAAGGTGGAGTTGTTTATCCGGTTTGTTTCTCCTCGAACGTTTGCAGGAAAGACTATTTTAGTGGTTAGCTTTTTCGAAATGATCGAGTAACGAAAGACAACAAGGAAAAATATCTGAAAAGAGATGGCAGGTGTGACCTTGTTCTAATTTAATCATCTGGACCAACATGAAAATTACCAGCGGTCATCAAGAAAACGTATAAAATGGTCATTTTTAATACACACATTTCAGAACGATCGAATTTGCAGTATTTCGAAAAATTATTGTATATAGAATAAAGCTATCGTCATTTATTGTAAATACTTACATGAAACCGTTATCCACTGTCTTATTCTACAAAATACACCTTATCACGTATTCTTTGAAATATAGTGTTATAGGTTAACTAATAGGAATAATAGAGTGCTAAAGAGAAGGGAAGGAGTGGCTTTATTTGTAAAATGTTAATTACAACCTGTTAATTTAAAAATAATAGCAAGGAGATTGGATCCATTTGGGTTTCTATTAACTAATATAAAGGAAAAAAACTTTTAGCGGAAAGTTGTTACAGACCACTAGTTGATATTGATGATATTAGGGAGAAACTTTACAGTGAGATTAAGATTTAAGCTGTTAATGAGATCGTAGTTATGGATGATTGTAATTTTAGGCATATAGATTGGGAAATGCTGGAGTCAAACCATGAGGGAGAAATGTTTTTTGAAACTGTTCAAGATGGTTTTCTTCACCAATTGTCAAGGAACCTACTAGAAACAATTCTATTTTAGATTTATTGTTAATTTCTAATATAGAAATTGTGACTGGGTGGAAATCGAGGAACATCGGAGTGCAAGTGATCATTGCTCTATTAGATTTGATGTTTTGTAAAAAAATAGAGATCAGAAATTATGATATTTTGGTTAAAAATTTCAAAGAAGAATTTTTTGAAGAAATGCGACAAGAATTATCTGTTGTGAATTGAGCAACTGAGTTATTTAGAAACACTAATAAAATACAGATATTTTTTTATGGATACATTTTCAAATATTCAAGATAAATATATTCCTTATAGAAAGAAAAGGGTGGCTGCAAGTAAAAACCAGGTTAGTTCACAAAGGGTATAAGAGATAAAATTATAGAAATGCATCATAAATTTAAGAAATTTAAATTGACTGGTATGGAGATTTCGAAGATTATAGAAGACCAAGAAAGTTGACCAAACAGGAAATTAGGACGTCGAAAATGATGTTTGAAAAAAGGGTTGGCTTAAAATGTAAAAATTAACAATAAGGATTTTTTAAGTGTTAGGATGGGGGTAGGACCCTTGAGGAGTGATAAAGGAAGGCTTGTATCTGATACATATGGGATAGTTGGGTTATTAAATTCTGCTTTTTCTTCAGTTTTTACTGACAAATATTTAAGCAGTATTCTACATTTTAATCAGTTGATAAATGGAAACGAGATCAAACAAGATGACTGCATTAATTCTGAGCTGGTTAAGAAAAAATTGGGAAGTTTAAAAAATAATAAGCTTCCTGGGCCAGATAATATTTCCCCAAGGGCTTTGAAGAAGGTTAAAGATTTGATATGTGGGTCACTTGTTACTATTTTTTCTCAGTCATTGAACTGTGGGCAGGTACCAGTAATTATAGGCCTATTAGACTTGCATCAGTTGCGAGAATAGTTTTGAAAAGTCTGATAAAAAATGCTTTGCAAAGCCATTTAACAAAGTTTATAATTTTATTCGATAGTCATAATGGTTTTACTAAAGGAAAATCTTGCCTAACAGTTTTTGTTTTACATTCTTTGAAAGGGTTACTGCTTATGTAGATAAGGGTAAGGGTTTAGATTTGGTGTATCTGGATTTTCAGAAAGCCTTTGACAAGATGCCACATAAAAGGCTTGTAAAAATTATATCTTTAGATATGCGGGATAAGTTAGCTGGATAAGTGGGGTACCTCAGTGTTCAGTTTTCGGACCTTTGCTCTTTTTGATTTACATCAATGACACAGATGAAGGAATGGTCAATAAGTTACTTAAATTTGCTGATAATATTAAGGTCTTGGGTGTTGCTAGTTGTGGAGAAGATGCTATTTATTTACAAAAGGATTTAGATAATTTAGTGAATTGGGAAAATAAATGAGAAATGCGTTTTAATTATAATATATTCAAGATAATGTATGTGGGTTATCATAATTTGAATTACAAGTATAATTTGGATAGGAATAACTTTTACAGTGTCGTGAAAGAATCTTGGTGTAATGGTTGATCAGTCTCTTAAGCCATCCAAGCAGTGTGTTGTTGCTAGTGGTAGGACAAATAGGATTTTAGGTGGTATCTACTGAAATACTGAAGACAAGTCTAAAGAGGTTATAATTTCATTGTATAGGTCAACGGTTAGTCCACATTTGGAATACTGTATTCAGTCTTGGGCTCCTTATCTTAAGAGGGATATTTAACTGTTAGAAAGGGTTCAGAGGAGGGTTACTAGAATGGTTTCTGTGATGGAGGGATTATCATATGAGGAGAAAGCTCTGAAATAGTTTTCTCTTGAAAAAAGAAGAGTTAGAGGGGATCTGATTGAGGTGTTTTAAGATTGTAAAGGGAATTGATAGTGTTGATGCATCATCTTTTGTTTTCATACTTAACGGCAAGAATAGTAGGACTAGGGGACACAGATATAAATTTTGGCAAGGTAGAAATCATCTTCAGCTAAGACAATTATATTTTTCTAACAGAGTGTTTGGCCTCTGGAATGGATTACCTTCGGATATTGGGCAGTAAATCTAAATGAGTTTAAGAGAAAGCTTGATAACTATGTGAATGATAAGGGTTGGCTTTAAGATTTTTTACAAATTTATTTATTAATAGTTTAGTTTAGAGGATGGGACATCAGAGATGTATCAATAGGTCTCTTGTTATCCATAAACATTATTTTATGTTATCACTAGTAGCAATATAACTAGATGTACTTCCGCATGGGCCTCGAAAGTGTTATGTTTCAAGAGTAAATAAAACCAAAATTAAGAGTAACAAATATTTTTATTTCTTGTTTTTAAAGTTTATATGCCATGCTATGTTGTAGCCTACAGAGTGCATAATTCTTCTCGTGATCCATGGCATGCGCGCGTTAAACTGCAACATTATGCGTTCATTATGTGACGTCATTTTGGTGTCTGCTGACTGACTGACAGAAAAATACCCTACTCTATAATAGTGCGAGTGGTTAAAACAGAAAACCCCTCCAGGCGGCCTTAAAAAAATAACGGAGAAGTGTGATGTGGTTCACAAATGAAAGTAGATGAAACAAAATATGTTTAGAAATGGTAATTAATTCACTTCTCCAGAGTAATCTTATTGTAAGTAGTCATCGACAGGTATCCATTCGCCATAAAAACTGTCGAAATTACCGCTACAAGAGGCTCAGTCTTGTTTTTTATTTGCTTAGTTCGTGATAGCTCTGTTACAAATGGTGAATGGTACAATATTCTGGGTTTCAGGTTTTTTTTCTCACATAGTTTCATGATCAAAGGATATGTTAATTACTTTGTCAAAACCTAAATCATATTTCTGGCATAATTTTGTTTTGTGTACAGAAATGTTATTTAGAAGATTTGGTATGGTTGTTGTTAAGCACGAGGCTAGACAATGGGCTATCTGTGCTCCGCCTACCGTGGATATCCGAACCCAATTTTTAGCGTTATATGCCCCCAGACTTACAGCAGAGCCAGTGGAAGAGCCTTTGTATATAACTTAATAGAGATTATATAAAAAGAATGAATAGATCTGTGTGTAGTTTTTTCATATAATTCTCTAATATTTCGAATCAATTTATTGTAATAAGTCAGTTTTATAGATGAATTATAGCTAATAACAAATATTTAAATGCTTTACAAAGAAACTGGATATCGTACATAACATCAATTGTATACATAGCTAATAACTAATAATTAATTGTACTACAAACAATTCTGGATATCTTAATATAATACGTTACATCAATTCCATGCATAAAGTATAGCTAATTAATAATTAGTTGTACTACAAACAGTTCTGAATGTCTTAATATAATACCTATTTCTGTTTAATATTATTGTGAGTCTATCAAAAATGTCTTTTTATAAACAAATGCAACATGAAATTTGTATTTTAATGCAGTTATACCAAAACCTTTTTTTAGAGCACGTGTGAAAGTGTTGCTAAGGAGATAGAAGCTAATGGCGGCAAAGCCTATGCCTATGAGTGTGACGTTTCAGACTTGCAGAAGGTGGAACAACAAGCTAAAAAGGTCCAAGAAGAGGTTGGTGACGTCACAATTCTAATCAATAACGCGGGTGTTATTCATGTTGATCCACTGTTGAACCTTAACTCTCAGAATATCAAACGGACTTTTGAAGTCAACGTTTTTTCTCATTTCTGGGTAAGTTACATCGCGTTTTGAAACTGTGAACAAATTTCTGCCGATTTGGATATATCATAATAAGACTTTTACTAATTTAATATTTTATTCATAGCTCGTTTAATAAACATTTCTAGTTATATTAAGGGGAAATGATTCAGCATTGTATACTGCTTTGTTGCTCTTTGAATTCTAAAAAGTCATATCATTGTTTGCTTCAATATTACCTGGACTTTGTAAGGGTTTGTATAACTGTATTTTATAAGACTTTATTTCTATGCAGTTCTTTATATATGAAACAAAGATCAACAAAAAAGAGGCCAGATGAAATTATCTCGTGATTCAACAGCAACGAGCCGAAATATTAAATACGTTTGTTGTACCTGATTCGAGTAATATAATAATACTATTATATGAAATTGCTCGAAGACTGTATTGCGCAGACGCGTGTTGGAAACAGTAATAGTTTTAGTTTTTAGCAAATACCGAGTTATCAGCTTTTACGAAATGGGGAATGGAACCACATCATTTATAAACCTTTTGATAGCTATCAAACTACCGAGTGCTCGTAATTTGTCAATTACTTATTTGGTATAATAAAAATGGAACGCCAATGCCAAAGGTAAAACAGAAATAAAGTATTAGGTATTAAGAGCTACAAAAATGTCCTATGATTCAAGATACAATTCAAAAGAAGGTGTCACTGGAACTAAAATATGAAACTGCATTGAAAACTGAAATCATAGTAAACTTGCACATTAATTATTGCTTTGCTGTATTTGTTGAATTTCGCGCAAAGCTACACAATGGCTATTTGCGCTAGCCGTCTCTAATTTTGAAACGATAGACTAGAGGGAAAGCAGCTAGTCAACACAACCCATCGTAAAATTCTTGGGCATCTTTACCAATCAAACAGTGTGATTGACTTTCGCATTATAACGTTCCCCCAGTTGACAGAGTGAGCATGTTCGATGATGGGTTTTGATCCCGCGAACTGCAGATTACGAGTTGAACCCTCTAACCGCCACGTAATGCCAAGGCCAGATTAACCAAAAAACGTTCAAATGAGCATACAAAAATACTTTTAAAAGAGAAAGAGTAGATGGAAATTATGATGTGAAAATAAAAGCTTATAGCTCTACTAATTAAAACAAGACACAAAATAAAAGCTTATAGCTCTACTAATTAAAACAAGACACAAAATTATAGCTTATAGCTCTACTAATTAAAACAAGACACAAAATAAAAGCTTATAGCTCTACTAATTAAAACAAGACACAAAATAAAAGCTTATAGCTCTACTAATTAAAACAAGACACAAATAAAAGCTTATAGCTCTACTAATTAAAACAAGACACAAAATAAAAGCTTATAGCTCTACTAATTAAAACAAGACACAAAATTATAGCTTGGGTCAGAAATGGAATAGGTATAATAAGAGTAAGAAGCTTATCAAATGCAACAAAACAAGATATATCTTCAACGAAAATGAATTAATAAAGAACCCTTTTTTCTGGGTTGTAGCAAGGTTGCCCCACCAGTGGCACAGCGGTTTGTCTGCAGACATACAACGCTAGAAACCGGGTTTCGATACCCGTGGTGAGTAAGGCACAAATAGCCCATTGTGTAGCTTTGTGCTTAACTCAGTACAACTACAACAACTGTAGCAAGGTCACTTTTAAAATCCCCCCTAGTGGCACATCGGCATGTCTGCGCATATATATGCTAGAAACCAGGTTTCAATACCCGTGGTGGGCAGAGCACAGATAGCCAATTGTGTAGCTTTGTGCTTAATTTCAAGCAAATAAAATACTTTTAATCACACTCGCGGATTACGAAAATTACTTATTACTACAACCCGAACAAGAAGAACAATGTTTACCTTGTAGTTAATTTCCAACAAGAGTAAGTGACTTCGTCAAAACTCCAGGCTAAGTGAAGATATGAGTGTGAGATTGGAGGTTTTAAAATAAACCAACGATTTCTGAAGCATTTTGAAACTGTCAAATACTCGGCTCGTACGAAGAAAGAAAAAAAAAAGAAACAACGTTTCGCGTAATTTGGAAAATAGTTTTCTGCTGTTGGTGGCATGTTCTGCACAAAAAAAATTGATAAACAGCGTGCAATTGATTATTAATTTTTAAAGAATATGAAACAAACACAAAAGAAAATGTTTACCCTCTAGTAAGTTAAACCATGTTCGTTCTGTCGTGGAATGTGAACAAAAATATTAACACACCTTACTAGTAACCATTCATATATTTTTTACACAGACCATACAGCAATTTCTACCCAGGATGCTTGAACGCAAGAAAGGCCACATCGTTGCAATATCTTCAGCAGCAGGGGTCATCGGCAGTCCCTATTTGACTGATTACGCGTAAGTTTTATCTCCTTTGTCTTGTGTATGTATGTTACACCTTTTCACTTTACACTGAGAAATAGTAGCGTAAACAGTTACATTATTCTTTAAGAAGATCGTTTATTGAAACGTTTAAAATATCCCTCACTCCCCGTGTAAGGATTTTAAAGTTTCAGATTTTATTTTTCACGTTTATCTTATTCTTATAAGGAAACTGAAGTTTCATAATGTATGCGAGGAGAAATTTATATCTTTAAAGAACAATATCAAAATGTACATATATATATATATGTAAATTGTAGCAATATAAGAG